TTGGTGTTGTTGTTGTTGTTGTGGTCGTCGTCGTCGTCGTCGTCGTTGTGGTCGTCGTCGTCGTCGTCGTTGTCGTCGTGGTTGTTGTTGTTGTTGTGGTTGTTGTTTGTTGTTTGTTGTTTGTTGTTGTGGCGGCAACTTTTTGTCGCTGTTTCTGTTGTTCGCTTGTCGTCGTTGCTTATGTCCGGAGTTGTTTTTGTGTTGTCTGTTCGTCAGCTACATTCATTTTCAGTTTCAGTCGCATCAGCTTCGAGTTTGCAGAGCCTTTATAAGATGTTTACGGCCAAGGCTACCTGAAGAAAGACTGCTCGAGCGACTCTTTGCACTACTCCTTCCCGGGCCCCTGCCCGCTCAGTGCTGCCGGGGCCAAGACGGAAGAGTGCCTAACCCCAGCTTTGGTGGGATGGTTTCGTTTGGTTTTCAAAAAGTTGGGGCTTCAAAGGTCAACCCTGAGGCTCCCCTAAGATCGCCTTAGTTGGAAAAGGCCTTAATTCGAAAAAGGAACAAAAGGCTGAGCTGTGCAGCCATGTATCTTCGTTGCCATCTCCTACTTCTGGTCAGCGTAAGGTGTCTTGCGCAGTACCCTGGCGGGCTGTGCGACGAGCCGAACGGCACAGACAACTGCACCTTCCATGTCGAGGACGCAGGCCGAGCGGAACGTTTCGATGAAGTTGTGTCCGTAACAGCATCCTGCACTCCTGTGTGGGCCAAGCTATACAGCTGCAGATTTTGGTTTTTAGATCTGCCGTTGCTTCTGTTCTGTCCATCACTGGCTGATTCTGGTAGCTCATGTAACTCTTCTGCCGGATGCCAGGGACTGTCACGCTGGATGAGCTGAGCGGGCGAAATACATCGTTTTGTGGCGGCAAAGCCAACATACTCGCCCCAGCAGGCTTACTGATAGCCTGAACTCTGTTGGCCGCCCTCTCGTGCTTTGCAACAGTTTGGACGCAAATCGTGGCCATGCCATGCTGCTTACCACCAGCAACAGCAGGCAACAACAACAACAACAACAACAGCGACAACAGCAGTAACACTAGCAATACCAATAACACCGCAACAACGACAACATGAGCCCCGACGACAGTAGCTACTTCTACTGCTGCTACTGCTACGACTATTACAACTACTACTGCCACTACCACTACCACGACCGCGACCGTGACCGCGCCGACGACGACTACTACTAGTACTACTCCCTGGTGTTGCTGCTATAGCTACTGCCACTGCAGGTTTTCGGTTAGGGGTCTCCAGCGTTGGTCTGCGGCGGAAGTTGATCAGAATATCTTCGGAAGCTCAATGTCCATGTTGCGAACCCGGGGCCCGTCCCTGGGTTCATACCAAGACTTGAAAACCCGGAAGCTCTAGCACCCGCTGAAGCGAGCTGCCTTATGTTGACAACATGGACCGCAAAGCTGCCCTTCGCATGAAACCCCGGAGCCCGATCGGACTTGATGTCTTCGGTTGTGCAGGGTCATCCAAGATTGGGCAATGCCCGAGTACCGGTGCAAAAAAAACAATTCTGTCTCCGTCTCTCTTTCTCTCTCTCGCGAGCAGGTTCGCCAATTCTTGGCATTCACACAACTCAAATCTTAAGTGATCAGAACCTGGTAGCTGCTACTAGTGTTGCCATTGTTTGTACCACGATTCATCTGCCGTGATGACTCTTTGCTTCTAAGGCAAAGCCTCCAAGACTGGTGCGCCGCCGGTAACTTGGAGTGGGATCCGACCAGGGACAAGGGAGCCCGGGAGCCCAGGAAGGTGTGCTTGTCGGTGAGTCGGGATGTGACGGAGATGAGTAGGACGTAGGATGTTGAGGGGTGTGACGACGAGGCAGATCAATAGGAAACATAGGCATTTGGGCGGGAGCTTTGTGGACTTGGCATGGTTTGGAAATACTTGCTGGGTGGCTACCCAGATTTCCGAGGATCCCAGTCAGCATGGAGTCTTTTGAAGGTTGCGATCATGTGTTTAGGGCATGTTTCATGCATTCCTAGAGCTGTCGTGATCGGGCCCCGAAGCTAGCAGGTGGGCATGAACTTCTGGAACGGCCTGCACAACGACCCTTTGCGCAAGGACTGCCTGAACCACTACCCTCAAGCGCCTGGTATCGGCCTGTCTCGCGCTTCACGAGGGACGCAGCTAGGAGCTAAGCCTTCCGCGCACCTTCACCTGGGTAGTTCTCTAAACTAGAGTCCCTTTTTAGGTCCCCAATACAGTACGGGACCCTTGTAAAAGGACTCTACGAGGGACCCAAAATTAGAGAACTACCCACCTACACCCAGCCTAAAGCCTTCGCTTCCAGCCCTCCATACATTCAGCTCTAAGCCTCGTGGCCTCCAGGGACCCTTTAGGGCACCCTGCAGGAGCGGATGTACAAGCCTCTCGGCTGCATCTCAGGGAAAGGCAGACATCCGACCCGAAACCTCAAGTGTCAGTTACAGCTCCGGCTTTTGGGGTGGGGCTGTCGGATGTTTCAATTGGGCACATGTCCGGTGTCGTGCCTACTCATCATCGAGATGGGCTTCACTGCAACCGGGCAGGATCAGCGGGATCTGCAGAATCCTCACGCCTGCGAGGCTGGGCTACCTCTTCTGGAAGAAGTATCCGAGCTTTCCGAAGCGACTGTCGGATCCGCGAGGTTGCAGGTATGCTGCCCAGGAATCGAGACCACTCCTTACACAGTAGATCTAATTTAAGGCCATGGTCTTACGTATTTCTATATTAGCACAAGTCGCAATATCGGCAACACCTGATTCACACAGCCACCCCCTGAGAGCCCTTGTTGTGTCGAAAGAGTTCCGTTTCTTCGGACAGGGACGGTTCCCGAACCTACATAGCTTCTTCATTGCTTCTCCCTACTGTATAGGTACCCAGACTGTCAAGTTGAAATCTGTTGTCTCTGGGCCCAGCCGCTTATGGCGCGCCTACTCGTGGTTTAGAGCCTGGTCGGCTTCTCTGCTGAAGCTTCGCAAGCGGTCATGGGGCTGCATATTCGGCCCCAGAGCCATAAGATGAGTTCGAGGCAGATGAGCTTCGTAGAGATACACTGCTATATGCTATCAGTCTATGAATGTTGGAATTGGCAAGATGCGACAGACCCACCACAGTGTGTGGCCTCGTTCAGGGTCTATTCCTGCAGATCCTTAGCAATCGCCAGATACCGAATCTAGCGATTTTGGCATCTTGGGCGACGCATGTGTTCTCTGGGCGCCGGGGAGCCGTCAGTGGAAGCTGTCTGCCCATAGTATGGGGGCCTGAATTGTTTGCAATACTATTCTTTGGGCTCCACCCCGAAACTCTAGCCTAATGATTAAACCCTAAACCCTAACCCTAAATGAGTAAGGCCCCTACATTATTCCTCGAGGCGACGCCTTCGTTGGATTGCCCCCCTCGTAGAAGTAAATCGGACCTCGGTCGAATTATGCAGAGGTGAAAAAGTTCACCTGCTCCGTCGAAGTGCGTAATGTAAGGGCCTTCATCATGAAAACGGATTTGGGGGTTTATTATACTGCACTTATTAATAAGGAACCCCCAAAACAGTATACAGCATAGGTAATTATTTAGGCTTCAGTGTTAGCTACATGGAACTAAAGGGCGTGCTTCCATGCACGGCCGGCACGTGTAAAAAGCTAGACAGAGCAGATTGGCATGCGCCTTCACATGGCTTGGTGAAGATGCACACGCACACAGATATACATACACATATACATATACATATACATATACATATACATATACATATACATATAAATGCATATGTATATGTATATGTATATGTATATGTATATGTATATGTATATGTATATGTATATGTATATGTATATGTATATGTATATGTATGTGTATATATATATACACAGCACTTGTTCGTATTATTCAGCGTGCATATGACCTTGGAATTGAAACTGTCGTCTCGGATCGTGATGATTCGGGGCTTCAAAAAAATCACAGCAATGTCGGTTGGCTTGGTAATACCTATTATGACTATGTATTTGCCTCCATCAAACCGACAGTGTTCTGCCACAACCCGGACCAGTACAAGAGCCCGAAGCCGCAAAACCGCAGATATCCTTGCAGCTCCTGGTCGTCAGTGACAGCCAACTTCGGTCCGAGTGGTTCTCAAGCACAAGACCAACCCTCCGAATCTTAAATGACAAAAACCTCTACCGCCCCTGCAATCCATAAAACACTTGCCTGCATAGCAGCCCGCATGGAAAGCTTTGCAGGAACCTTCATAGGGACCCTTCCAGGAACCGTTGCCGGAGCCCACAACAGGAACCCTTATAGTTAAATAGTTTCTCATGCCAGGCGTTGCATAGCGTTGCCGGTGGGACGGGCAGTGGCCTGGGCTCTTTCGCACTGAAATCTGTCGGCGCCTGGGCGCAGGGGTTTTCCAGTGGCTTGAGTTTCATGACGATGATACCGTGTAGGGCTCCAGTGTTCTAGGGTTCGGCGGAATGTTATGATGTGAGGAGAGGAGATGCCATCCGAAACATGCGTCGTAGTACAGTGCTCGGAGACACCAGTAGAATAGCCGTTACAGCAAGCGCAGCAACAGTGGTTTGCCGGTTCCAGCAGTTTGGTCTTTAAGTTGGTAATGTGTATATGTATGCATATACAGACATATTATATATATATACACACACATACAGCTAGTCATAGTGATACAGATCCAGAAACATGTAATAATAAACGATGTTCCCCGACTCATTGGTCGAAAAGGCGAAGGCAAAGCGTCATCCGGACCCTTTCTATAGCATCGAAGCACGGAAACCGTGCTAGACCGTGTATGAAGTCCAACGGATGAGACGACATATGCGTCGCCCCATACACCCAACCACAGTTTCAATCGAACTCGTCCAGTTGCTTATGAGCAGACCGTCAACTCCAAACACCAAGACGGCACAAGCCAATCGAACTTGTCCGAGACTCAAGACGCCCAGATGTGAACCGAGAGCCTCCAGCACAATGCCAACACCGCGCTTGGAATAGAAAGCATGACTTCCGCGGAACGGGTGAGAGAAACAAACATTCGGCAAGTGCAGGCGCCGAGCAGTCAGTTGGGCTTACAAGTCATTCTATCTGAGCGGAATTCGCGTCTGGTTTATTTCGCAGTTACTGTCAAACGCCAGGAACCTCGCTTCATTAGTCAACGCATCTATGTCTATAATCTATATATCAGATACTTACGTGTGCACAAGTAGGTGTTGATGCTCCTCCTCCTCCTCCTCCCAGCGCCACCACCGCCACCACCATGACAACCATCGTCAGAACCTCTGCCATCATAACTTGCATCCACTTGACTCAGCGAGGTTCGGGATGCCTTTCCCTCCGCTGCCCTCGCATCCATCTCGGTGTGGCCGTTCGAGACTGGCGAGGTGCCTTGGCTCTGACACCCGCCACGACAGTTCATTGGTACCGACCGCTTGCAGGAAGCACTGCTCTTGTGCCAGGTCAGCGTTCAGTGCTACAACGCATCTCTGTGCCGGCCTCGATATGTGATTATGTTGTAGCTGCTGTGCGCATGCCGCGTTCGTTAGTCCAAAACCCATCCGGACCAGAAGAGCCAACCGTCCCAGGACTCTCGCTGCAATCTACGAACATGCTGTGCCGCCCTGGGTGACACTGTGCATGGCAGAGCAACTCGCCCCTCAGCAACCCTGTGGATGCAAAGCTGCGAGGACTTGGCGGTGGTTTGTGAGAACGAACGTTACCTGGACTTGTGCCGTCTCTCGCACAGCGCCCGGAGGAGTTCTCAAGCAAGGTCTTTCGAGGTTTCGTCTTCATGTCAATGTACGAACATCGTGAGATCGAGGGTCCCTGCGTTCAATTCAGCAATAAAGACAGAGAGCCGACCTCCGGAACCGACCACATCAATAGCGATGAAGAAAGACGGCGACGTCTTTCGCTACACGTTCATGATGTGACGTCTCCGTACAGATATGACCCCAAACCACCCCTGATCTCATGATGCGAAACCCTGGATAACCCAAGCATCCAAAAAAACTTGAGGCTTGGACAGGCGCATCCTTCTCTCGGCTCGCTGAATGTGGCGATCGCCGAGAGTTTAGCCAGGGGCCTCAAATCAAAAGGAGTCGGGGAGCAGTCGTGCTGTAAGGTTTTAGGATTGTGCTTTACCGCTCGGGGGTTTTATGGTGTGGCGGCTAAGGTCGGTTGCTGGGACCAGGAGCTGGGGGAACCTTGTAGCTGCTGTGTCCCTTCACGGAGCAATACGGAGCAAAGCATTCGACGAAGATCTGCGCGTAGACCTTGCACCTCCAAGTACTGCTGACAGAGTCTTCCCATGTATGGTAGTGGGAGAGACGGTCTTCCTCTCACTGGATCCACGGTTCTCCGACGAACTTTGCGAAGCCCCAGAAAATGTCCGCCCTTTCTCTCACCGGGCCCTGGGAGCTTTGGACCTCGGCAATTCTGAAAGGTCCGGGTCTGCATGCCTTGCAAGTCTGTGCAGCGGCCTGAAAGTGAAACGTCCAAGGCTTGAAGCGATGTTCCTGCTGTTGGGGGGGAGCTTGAGGGTCTCAGATTTTGGTGTTTCTGGTAGTCTGGTACATTTACCCTATGCTTCCGAGGACCTTGTAGTTAGGGCCCTAGACCCCTTAAGGACCCAATACTACGGTCCCTGGAACCCTATAGGGTTAGTCACGCCAGGCCCCAACTCTCGAGCCTCTCGGATCCTTTCATGCCGTGCGTAGGAAAGGAGATCTTAGGTGGCAGATATTTACCGTTTGCCTGAGCGTGCAAGCCAAGCCAAGCCAAGCCAAGCCAAGCCAAGCCAAGCCAAGCCAAGCGAGCAAGCAAGCAATGCACGAAAACGAACGAAACGAAACGGCGAACGAACGAAGCTTCGTAGCCAACCAAATCCTTATGCCTGTCTGCATGTGTGTGCGCATTCTATAATGATTCATTTGTTTGTTGCTTCATGTGTATTAGAGACTACTGTATGCATGCATGTCGATGTGCATGAGTTTGAGTTGACCGTCCAAGCTGTGGAATTGAAAACTTTCCAACCCCCGAGGAGGGCTCAACACGGGCCCGGTTGTCCGCTGCTGCAGCTTGCAGGGCAGCTCTGCGCACATCCGCCTGGATCCTGGCCAGCTCGTATAAGAGACACGGCAGATGCCCTTTGTCTTCCTGCCTAATTTTCCACCGCCTATCCTCCTGTCGATATGCGTTCTCTGCAGATAAATTGCACTGCGGATGTTGATATCAGAGTACCAAGTGCCCATCGGATCAACTACAAGTCCTGTCCACAGAGGACCAGTTGAGAAGGGGGCCAATCTGGAACTTTTGCGGCGAGTGGATTGTGACATTACATCAAGACGCGTGTATGTTAAACGATGCATAATTCACATTGTATTTGCATATACTTCTGTATGGACTGGTTTTTCAGGATCAAGCTGCAGTTTTGGACTGCTGTTGTAGTGTGGCACTGAATTAGCAACAGCTTGGCTCTACTCTTTCAGCAGTATTAAATGTTTGTGCGTGCCCTCAGCTTCAACAGGTCCGGCTGGGGAGAGCTGGATCGGAAATACTGATAGAGCCTGCTCTACTGCACGCGAGGGTTCAAGGTGGTAAGTGCACCGGCGTTTCAGATCCAAGCGGAAGTCGACTGTGGGGCTTCTCACGAGGCTGCACGAGGCTGCAGAGCCAGGTCATCCACAGTTGCTGAGGAAGCCTTGATTTGCCTGAAGATGTCGGACACCTGAGGCTGTACAGATTAACGACTGTGCGCGGGCACCTGGAAACTGCAGAGCGCTAATTGCGATTCAGTTCAATCGTTCATCTTTCTGCGTGGGTCCTATCCTGCTTTCGAGCTTCGAACTCACTTCTGCTTTGCAGGGTTGTTCATCTGACTGCTGGCAGTAGTTAGTAACTCAGGCGCAGCCTACCACAGACTCGTCGAGGAGCAGAGGTGAGACCACACGTCTTGGATGTTGGGTCTGAGGTTGCCCGGAATTTCTGTTTCAAGCATCGGAGTTTTGAGGGCGGTCAGGAGTCTGCTTAAGCTTGGTCACAGTTGTGAGTTTCCTGGTCCGCATATTTACCTTCGATGCAACAGCCTGCAGGCACATGAAGCTGGAGTTTATGAATCCAGACCAGGGCGTAGGCCTATGCTGCTTCGTCATCCCCGTCAGCACCAGCACCGTTATCGTCTTCCGCGCAATCACCACATATCACCAATAGCAAAGCTACTGGTTATCAGTTCTCGCCGTCCACCTTCTTGTCGTATCTGTCGGCGTCGTCACCATCGTGCTCATCGTCACAGGAAGAATCGTCATCAGCACCGCACGGAGGCTGAGTTCTGAAGTCAATTTTACCTGGTCTCCCTTGCACAACAACAGTTTGGAACGGAAGCACGATAGATACCGGGATTCTGGAGGCTGCCTTCAATGCTTGCTGCTTTCGCCCTTCACCGCCTCCTCATTTTCAGAGATTGAACTGATACCCAGCCGCACAGATCAGTCGCTGCACAGTAAGTCAATATCGGGGATTGACGAGAGTCGCACGAATGAAAATGACTATGCGCTCACTTCAATAAGGATGATACTGGCACTGCAAAGACAGTGCTTCAACTACTATTACTAATATTACTATTATTACGATTATTACTATTATTTCTATTGTTACTATTATTACTATTATTACTATCGTTACTATTATTACTAGTATTCTGCTTCCTCTTTTAGGTGACTTTTCTGTTTGGAGGGTTTCTGGTACTCGTGGAGCTCCGTCCTTTTGTCCAGGCATTTACCTCGGACTCCTGGTTAGCACTCCAAAGGCCACATGGGAGACTTTGGAATCTCCAAAAGAGGGTTTGGGGGGATTCGGGTTTAGGGTTGCCGCTCGAAGCAGGAGGCGCAAAGGACGCCACTAGCTTCAAGAAGCTTCCACTAACCAGGCGTCTTCTGATAGAGCATCGCCAGGCTTGATATTCGGTGTGCTACAGGGTTCTTATCGCAGGTACGTGCTTGGGCAGAGTGGATTTTAGAAGCCTGAGACAACCTGCACGGATCGAGATTGTTTTGTCGATGCATCTGGGGCGCCAGCAAGAGCATTTCAGGAGGAACTGGTCAGCCGGAGACACCAAGGGCTCCAGAAATGAAGCTCATGATGCTGTCGTCGGTTCCGACTGCACCCAAAAACTTGTTATTCTCCATGCCGTCCCGCTGGAAGAGGCGATTGCTCCATTTGTCCGAAACCGGCGCCCTTGTGGATAGGCCAGCTTGCATCGTCTGTTTCAGGGCTTGTGAACATGTTGACCAGCGACTTGTCTTCATTGCCACTGGGAGTCGAAATAGTGCTGCTCAATCCTTCCATTCTTTGGAGATCTGCTGTGATTTCTTTAGCTTGTCCATGTCACTCTTGGCCGCCAGGCCGTCGCAAGCTACACAGAGCCCCAAGGACTTGTTGCCCTGCTCCTACACTTAGAGCTCGTATCGGCTTGATTATGTAGTGCGACTCTCATTAGTGTTGTTATAAACAATATTCCTAGAGACGTGCCACTCTGCATTACCATTGTTGGTGTTATTTCTACGACTGTTATGGTTGCTAGTTACTAGTTGTCTCTTACGGCAACAAGGGTTCATGATTCATGAGCCTCCCAGGCACCCCCCTTTGCACAGCTTACGCCTCAAGCTCTTCACACCACCCCAAAATACCCAAGTTTAGAGGTTTAGGGGGTTTGACAGTTTAGGGCCTAGAAGGGAGCTTGAAACAAAAACGCACCAAGGCCAGGATGCCCCCCCATCGCTTGCAGGAGGGTTTGGCGCGCTGCCGCACCCTCTCAGCTCTGAGCTCAGCGCCGCTGGGGGAAAAGCACGGCAAGCTGTTGGGCGAAGAGGGATTAGTTGAGAAGACGAGCGGGTGCACCTGCAACACCGAAATGCTCGTGTTACCTGGGATTTGGAGAGAACTCGAAAAAGGGAAGTATGAAAGGGGCTTCTCTTGCAAAAGTTGTTTGGTGTTCTTTCCGTAACATCTGCAGCAGATGATCAGATGTTCCTGTCAGGCGCAGAAGCAGGGATTTCAGCGAAATCTTCATTTCAAGGATGCTTGCGCATGATGTTGGTGTGCATTGCAGACCGTATGCCTTCATGAATTGACATGCGGCTTTCACTAATGCCTCGACAGACCGGAAGTAAATGCCCTTGCCATCCAAAGCCCCCAACCCGATGCCGCAACATTAGCGATTCTCTCCAGAACTCCAACTCCAAGGTTCACTCGTTTTGAGCCCAAAGACGAAGCCAAGAGTCCTCTCCTGACCTCACAAAACCCACACGAGGCCTCTGTTTTCTTCTGGGGCCACGCAGCCACCGAAGCGTCCCTGGACTGCCCGGGCCGGGGCCAGGTCGAGGTCCTTCCTTTTAGTCTATCGATGATGGTTCTTACTTTGCATCTCTTGCTACAGGACTGGTATAGGGGGGTTCCTTTATGTTACTGCGCATCTTGCTGGACTGGTTTTTGGGGGAGGCGTTTGGAGGTCCAAAAGGGGAAGGAGCCTGGCGAGTTCCTGGCGAGGATCCCTTGCGGAAGTTGCCCATCTGGCAGCAGTCCCTGGACCCTTTGCAGGCCCTTGGCTTCCGGTGAGGAAGGCTGTGATGGAAGCTGCAGGTCTAAATTCAGAAGGACGGTGAGCCCGGTTCAAGCTGTGTGCGATCTCTAGTTGAATTCTTTTTGGGAGGACTGCAAGATCCAGTGATGCGCGCATGGCAGTCTGCCAGTCTGCATTCACATCTCTCCTGCTTTTTGCCAGGTGCACGCAGATCCTCATCAGGCCATCAAGCTTGACGTCTCTTCATGTCTTTTCCTGCCGCAGTTTGCTACCTGTAGCAGCTGGTACATGTGCGTCTCGAAGCCTGGTTCCACACGGGTCCAAGAGTGCACACTCTGGCCTTCAATGCAGAGCAGCTGGTCCCAAGTTTCATGCGTCATCTGGAGCATCCACGGCTACTAAGAGTGTCGTGACCTGGAGTTCAATGCAAAGGTCTCTGAAACCGACCCCGCCACGCGCCAGAATTAGAGGCTTGACACCCCAACCTGCAAGCCTCAAGCTGAATCACCTTCTATAGACGCCTCACAACACCCGTAAGACGTAGCCTTGAAGGTCGGCACAGTTTAGGCGCGTTTTCTTCCAAGACGCAATCCGTCAAGTCTGTCGCGCTGCACAGTGATGTTGGTGGCGCCAGGTAGGTCGACTGGAGCGGAGCTTGGGGTCAATCAGCAACTGCCAGGCCGTCGTGCGTGGGGCCCGAACACTAGGTTTGGTGAAGAGCTTGGGGTCAATTGCAAGGGCTGCTAGGGTATAATCTGAGTACCATGACTGTTTTTGTCACCGGCAGTCGTGTTACTGGTGCTGCTTAGATGTGCTTTGTTGGCGACTCGTATATGCAACAGCACAAGACTGGTCCATCGCCAGCTTCGAGAATTAAAACTGGAGGTTGAAGTTCCTGAAGGTTCTTGCGAAGATGTGGGATCCAGAGCTCTTTTTAGCCTGCTATCTTTCGAAGGTATTTGGTAGTCAGTGTTTGAGGAAGTTGCCCCAGCCTGCAGCCATCTGCAGCCGCAAACCCTCAGCGGCCCTGCATCCGTACTTAAGACCTTTGAAGTCCTGCATCGCCGTGCGCGTCTTCCCAGAGACGCCCAAGCCTTTGAAGGGAGCTAAACCATAAGATTGCACCTCCTATAATTTCTTAAACGGAGGAGTTTGGGAGTCTTTAGGAAGCATATATGGCTTATGAATCCCAAACACGCTAGGCCCGGCCCTAACCCTAAACCCTGAACCCTGAACCCTAAACCCTAAACCCTGAACCCTTAACCCTAAACCCTAAATTAAACCCTATAAACCCTGAACCCTTGTTTCGGAGTCTCTGTGATCCTTAGGCCAGCCCTCTCCTCCACCGCCAGAAGGGCGGCCGGGATGCTCCGGGCCTCGGCCTACCTCCACCAGCCCGGGCCTTAAGGGGTCAGGAGTTTTAGGAGTTAGGTGTTTCGGGGTTTTGGGTTTAGGGGTTTGGGGTTTAGGGATTTTGGGGTTTAGGGGTTTTAGGTTTAGGGGTTTTGGGTTTAGGGTGCACCAAAACCGGTTTTGGTGGGTGTATGTAGGCTCCTTATTGGGGATATGAGTAAGACGAATGCTGATGTGTTTACGCATGCATGCGTAAGCCATCGACACATGCGTGTATGATGTATGCATGTATTGCGGCGTACGTCTGTATTCATGATGTGTTGACTAGCTAGCTAGATAGCTAGCGACACCGATGTTGAGTTTCGCAGCGGGCCAGTTCCGTAATTCCGTTATTCAGTTTGGCTTTGTTCGTCGGTCTGCCTAGCTATCTGCCTAGCTGTTGGATTGTATATTGAGCGCTTAATCACAGTCACGTCCTGGAGCCCAGATGTTTCCATTCTTTGAGAAGGCATCGGGCTCGGGAAGTCGAGACTCCCTCTCCGAAGGCTGATCGCTGTACATGTGACCCCTAAACCCCTAAACCCTAAACCCTAAATCCTAAATGGGAGGCTTAGCCTCCAAAGCCTGAGAGCGAGAGAGTCAGGCAATGGCCGAAAGCCTCGTTGCGGGCACGAGAGCTGCATCGAACTGCAGCCAACGGGGGCAGCCCAGCATCGACACCGCACTACAGCCAACGGGGCAGCCCAGCATCGACACCGCCGACCCACGCTGTACCAGGACTTCACCAAGAGCCAGGTGGACCTGCGAGGGGACATCCTTGACCCCGCCAAAGGACTCCACCAGAAACCGGAAGGATTGCCTGCTCCTCTACCTCAAGCACCTTCAGCTCATGCGGTGCCGCAGAGTTGGTGAAGGCTTCACCTCATGCATCATGAGGCTGACCAGAAGGTTCTAAAGCTTAAAGGGCGCTGGCATCAATACCGCGATCATATTGCTTCAACTTCACCTGACTCGCTTTAATGACGATGGTGATGAAGACTGCAACAGAAGACGAAGAAGATAAGCAAAGACTAGTCGTACTTAGACTCGTTGCTCCTGTGTCGGGGGCATTGCCTGTAGTGGTGTGGTGCAGCATCATCAGTCTCGAATGAGTTTGTTGTTAGCATCGGCTGTTTTCGGAGTTCATGCTGCCGTATCGACAACATTGCTATAAGCAGTGCAAGTCATTCGAACTAGTTGCTATTGCGGTTTGGGATGTGGATGTTCCTGCTGCGCAAAGGTACGAGCGATACGGGTTGGGCCGGGAGGACATGAGCGAGGCGATGCAATGCACACAGACTGATAAACTTTATGGAACCGTCACTTCTTCCACAGCCAGCGTACACGAGTTCATCTGCCAAGACGGTTGGGAGTCGATGGCTGTCGAAATATGTGTTTGTGATGGGCGGTTTTGGAAGATACTTGTGACTTGCTGGCTGCTTGCATGTCAGGCAATTCTCCATATGCTTCAAGTGACCAGCGACTACGAGCAAGTCGATCAGAAAGAAGGGTTGCCGCATTATGCTTGTTTGTTTTCTGCAGAACGGTTACGAACTTTCAGCTCCTGCGCTTGCATTCAGACCATGTTCTTACTGCAAGGGCAGGGGAGGCATCTGCACACGTCAGGGTCTTGTTCGATGTGGCGTCAGAGGTTATCGGACGACATTGGCACTGCGTGACTTTGCAAGTGTGACGCGTCTGCTGGTGCTGTGGAGCCTGTGCGGTACATTACAGAGCCTGAAGCTACATGTATGTGCTTTCCTTTTTTCAAATACTTACATGTTATGTATGTACGCAGGTATGTATGCAAACATACACACAGGTACACGTACATACATATGTACATATAGATGTCACACACACGCACACACATGTTGTGGGTCTGTTCTTCGGTGCTCCTACTCTCTCACACTTGAGCATTCAGCTCATACTTCCAGCTTTGCGTCGCTTCGTCCGTTTTTCCGCCGCCCTGTGGCTAAAGAAGCCAGAAGCAGAATCGGGCGGCCCTCCGTGCCCAGGCCAGCGACCCTACAGACAGCTAAAAGAAGCAGTGTTTCAATGAGAGGCGGGAGAGGGAAGGTTCGAGATGAGAAGGCTGTGGGAAATCATCAAATCATTCTCTACGGGTTATAGGGCTCCTCGCTTTAGGATAGGCTCTATGAGCTTACTCCCATGACCCAGGCGTTTGGCGCGGGATGGGCAACACGCAGGCAGCAGACGACAGGCATTCCTGGGGTTCTCGGAGGAGAGAGGACCGGTGTGGGTGTGGGTGTGGGTGTGGNNGGGGGGGGGGGGGGGGGGGCTGACCGTTGAGTTCTAATTTATCACCAGCCACTCCGGTCTCTATCGACGGGGCTGCAGGCATTTCAGCCCTACAGTCCCTCACTTCACTGCACACGGGCAGGACGTACAAGTTCCATGTCACAGTGTGCACCAGACGTGTTCAGTTGTCGTGCTGCTGCTGTTTAACTGTGCAAAGCTTTGAGAAGCCTGAACTCGGAAGAAAGGAGCACGACCTAACAATCTCTATACTTTCAAGCAAGTGTCCTACCGGTGACCACTGAATATCTCAAAGCACCCCTTTTCACTTGCTGACTCTGCAGACCATGTATTCCCGCAATCCTTTTAATCCTTTTGTCCTCTCCCCACTGCAGCACGTCATAGCACTCAGCACAACGATTGCCTCAAGAGAGTCGCGAGAGTAGGCCTTGTTCGAAATATTCAGCCTTGCATCTGCAGCCAAAGCCATGCTGCGCCTTCTGGCGCTGCTTGCGGGGGCCGCTTCGGCGCTGGAGCCACCCCCTCGCTTCGACCTGGTGCCGCTGCACTGGGGAGGGCAATCGAGTTTTAGGGGTTTCGGGCTTCTTGGGAGTCGGGTTTGTTGGTTCCTCTCCTCGCCTCGACACGGGACCCAGAGAAGCAACACTGACAATGGATGCCTGGTGGGCTTGGGATTTGCTAGGTCAGCTGGGTCGAAGGGCCTCCCAGCATGTGGCTACCAATCGACGCCCTGCAACCGGGAAGAATCGGAAGGCGGCAAACTAGATCTGAATCTTCCTGGAACGTTTGCAGCCTTGTGGAAAGGACCTTTCAAAAGCACCAGAAGATCGCATCCTGGCTGAATCACGGACTGAGCTTCTTCTGTAGATATGCACGGTTAGGATCGTAATCACACCTTTTAGATTGGTAAGGGGGCCACCCAACACTGAAACGAACAGCGACCGTCACATGGTAATGACTGTCAGACGAGCCATGCTGAATATGATAGTCCACAGGTTTATACGGCCATCAGTAAGTAGTGGGAATGCACGCAACATCAGCGAGCCGTTTGTCTGTCTGTCTGTCTGTCTGTCTGTCTGTCTGTCTGTCTGTCTGTCTGTCTG